ATACAAAAAATAATAGCATTTGCTTTTTCCAGGTGACACGTTTGTAATTATTATTGTATGTGTTTTTCGTTTCATTCGCAGTTGCACGGTTTAGAAATTACAATTGTTTAAATAAATGATGAAGTAAACTTTGTCAATTTTTCAATTTTTTTATCTGCTTTTTCCATCAGTATAAATTTCGATTGCAATTGCTATTAATAATTACAAACAAGTTTGAATCATCTAAAAAAAAACGGATTTGAAAAACCTTTACAATTGACAAAGTTCACTACTGCAGACCATTTTTTTAAACAATTGCAATTGTTTTCTAAACTTGTGTATCACAAACAAAACGAAAACAACTACAAACGATTCTAAATAAGACTGCGCAAGCGGATTTAAAGTATCTTAAAGTCGAGTGCTGCTCATTTAAAAGATATCACTTTAAGATCGATGTATCGATCTATCTTCGCTTAAAGACTTATTCGAATTAAGAAATGTCGCGCGTTCACGTGCGTTTAAAGCGATAGCCTCAATTATAATAAATTAAGAAACAATTTCTTTTCTGCTTATGCTTACTTACAAACAAATGAAGCGATTAAATAAATGAATGAGAGAATGCTAATGAAATTGTGTTCACGCAATTCTGACAAACTTTTTATTTTAATTTGCATTGTTCTATTATATATTTATGAAATTTTTACGTGTATAAATTGTACTATAATCTTCTTTTATTACAGTGTTTAAATTATTGTTATTAAATTAATGTTTAATACATACATATATTAATGCTATTCTAATAAATTTTATTTTATAAAAAATATAAAAAATGTAAAAGTATACAAATAATGATTCTGCCAATCGAATATGTGTTAAATTTCGAATTAAAATACAAACTGTATTTATTTAATACGATGCAAAAATAATACACAGATTTTCAAAATTTAATATTGTGTCTCACAATTTAACTGAATTTAAAATCTAAATAAAAACAGCAAAAGCTCATATTTAATGAGATACATGAAACCGAAAGTTAAGATCGCCGAGATGTTGGAAATTTAATGAAGATGGCAATCTAAAGTTTAAAAACTATGGAAAGTTACCGGGAGACAAAATAATTCTATGCACCAGTGAGGAGAATTGAAAAGATGCGTAATCTCACTAACAAGTACGGACACGCCGTCTTCGATAAGATAGAAAAGGAAAAGAAGAGGGAGAAAAAGAGATAGAAAGACTATTCTTTGATGCCACAGGACTCTCACGTTAGACGATTAACAGTACTTCTCGTGGGTCATAACTTTCCGGACACGCTTCGACGAGGCTTTGTCGCCGGGACTCCGATCCTCGGTGGCGAGCCCCTCGTAAATCTGACAATTACTACACCCAAAGCCGCGTGTGTACTCGACCGCCGAGAGAATCGCAAATGAAATAACTGCGAGCCAATAACACTGTGTTTCTCCTCTCTTCCTCTTTCTCTTTGTCCCGCGTGGCTCACAACGCGACTACGAGAAAACGTTATTCGCCAGGTTGCATCGCTGCGAGTAAACCGAATCAGGAACGTGCGACCGCAAATTAAGACGCGCTCTGTGCATATATATATGTTTCATGACTATGTACGGACCACCCTCGCGACAACTGAGCGTTTATCCTCACTGGTGACGAGCCCGGAATTCTCGAGTGCTTTATGCAAAGACGCTGTTTTTGTATCTATTGTATATGTATACATAATATATATTAACCCTCCGAGTTCTCGGAAAATGAGCGCACATAGCTTGAATTTCTTCTTAACGTTATCTCACAAAATTCAGACTCGATTTCAGTTAGATATATAATATCTTCCCGAGTTATAATAAAGCATTGAGCATGAAAGATTTTTGTGGTTCAAATTTTAAAAGCAAAAATAAATAATAAAACGTTATTTTAATTTATTTAACATAGACATAAAGAATAAATGTTACATATATAATATTAACGGCTATATATGAATACCTAGCGTAAAATTTGAAATCAATTTTAAAGTCGATGTTTTATTAGCGAAAATATTTAAAAAATGTCATTCTTACGATTTTATATACCTATCATATTATATGTATTTATAAATCAATATTCACTTTAAAATTGATTTTAAAACCGTTATATGAATTCATAGTCATTAATATTATATATTTAACATTATTCTTCCAAGATGCTATCTTTTTTCATCGTGAATTTATTATCGCTCAATTATTTACGATTATGGAAATCTGATACCATCGTGGATTGGGGCTCTCATACTTGGAACAGTTACAAACTAATCCATCGAGTCGTCGGTCAGTCGTCGTAGAGTCGACGAACCTCTCTATCGATCTTTACCTTCTACCTACGTTCATCCTCCCCCGTTTATTCACAGTAGAAACGTCAGTCATTTCTATTGTCATTTCTATTGTTGTTGCTCGCCAAATTTTACGCTTTGATCTTCGAAAATAAAACGAAATTTATTTCCTCTATTTTTATATATTTTCTCAGTTATATCGTGCTTATTTATTATATGATTTATTAATATTAACACAAGGAACAGATTAATTTTATGACTTTTAATTAGATTTAAAAATTCTTAGCTATCTATACACACGGTAAGGAATTTTTTTTTAAACATTTTTTTGTGACGCTAGAGTTAACAGATAAGCACTGAGAAAAGTCTCTTTTAATATTTTTATTACCAGCAAGTTATTAATATCTAGTTGTATATATATGTATAATAGATTTTGCAGGAAAGGAGAAAGAAAAAGAAAAAGAGAGGAACAAGAAAAAATGCACGGAGATCGCGATAAACGCAAAAAGAGCCAGCGTGTATATAAAACGAACATTGATAACATATGCCTCTAATAATGTAATCGATATTAAACAAATGCTGCCCGTATAGTACATTCACACACGCAATAAAGCGGTTGGCAATAAGTGTCGATACGCAGAAAGTATTTCCTGCTACGAAATATACGATAATCTTTCTCGTTGTATAATCGATCTTTTTTCTCGCCATTCAAAGGCTAAATGCGCACTCGAATATTTCACATTATCCGGAAGATTACAAATCTTTTACGATCGAAATCACGATTGAAAATCACTACTTAATCTTGCTTGCACCGAGATTCATTATGCATCTGCTATCTTTATACCAAGAGAGTAAAGATATTCTGAAGTGGATACTCTCTCTCAACCATGCGTGTCCGTATTAGTACATGTATTAATTTGTCAAAATGACCCACACGAGAGTGATAAGAGTATAATTGCAGATGCAGTTCGCATTGCGAGTTTATATCGCGATAGAGCAAATATATTACTAATGTTAGAGAATGTAATTGAAAACTTGAGAATCAAAAATAATCATCAAATATCATCTTTATAAAATTAGTTATAAGAAGAGTTATAATTATTATTTTTGTACATGTGAATATATATAGGATATTCAGTGTAATAATTCGCATGATTTTTCCGACAGTTGAAAAAAATTTATATAGTAAAAATTAGTCCGTTTTATGCAAGCTATTACATGCAATAAAAACAATTTGAATTTTGCTTCTTTTTTTAATAAAACTATCAATGTTTCCTTAAATTTTTAAAATAAAATCATATTTTTATATATAAATCGATTCCTCACAATATTCTGCATAAAAAATTATGAGGATAAGATGGTAAACTATCTCATAAACTATTCACTTTTTAACCACCCTGCTCTTTTTATGCAGAATATTGTAAATCAATTTTATATATTTATATATATAAAATATGATGGTATTATTTAAAAATTTCAAGATGACTTATTGAAAATTATTGAGTAAAACTGATTTTAAAGAAAAGATTCGATTTCTATTTCGGCCAAAACTCAAACAAAAGCCAAAATTCGGTTTCGGCTATAAAACTTAGTTTCGGTCCAACACTACTTTTTTTTATATATCGGAACCGTTTTGAAAATTATGCGGACTGTTACATTGAATACTCTGTATATTTAAATAATATAGAATATAGAATATATATTGCGACAGAAATAATATTAATTATTTTGCATTATTTTTAATATATCTTTGAATTGTAATATATGAAATATTTTGTAGGTAGTAAAGATATGATTTTATTTATAAAATAATTATGCACATAGCTATAGATATGAAAATGTTTAAATGCGTTTATATATTTCAAAAGTAAATTCTTCTTAATTGAATTATTGTGAGAATATTCTTGAAAAAGAAGTGTAAAAATTTTTACTACGCAATTATACATACATCATATATATAATATATACATAAAATTTATATATAAATTAATACATACAAAATACACTTTAGTTAATATAACATATATATAAAATATATATAATATGTATAAAATATATATAATTTAATTAATTCAACACAAATTTTAACATAAAATTTTAATTTGAGGTTTTCAAGTAAGTATGTTGATTATTTTGCATTTATATGTTTTCAATATTTACAATGTAATATATAATTCGAGAACACAATATTATATTACAGTGCAAATATAAAAAAAGATGTATAAAAATATAAAATAATCAACATATATTTCTCAAATTAAAATTTTATACTAAAATGTCTACGTTAAATTCATCAAATTAAAATAACGCACTATTATTTATTTGCGTTTTCAAATTTGAACTATAAAAAATTTTTCTCAACACTAAACTCAGGAATTTATGTCTATATACAACGGAAATCGACTCTGAACGTTTGTGAGATAACGCTAGGAAGAAATTCGAGCTAGTATACTGCTCCGAGAATTCGAAGCGTTAAAGTATATATAATATATACCTACATGTTACTGCGCCTGGTTTGACGCAAGACACTACCGTCTCTCTTGATATACATATATATATATATATATATATATATATATATATAACAAAATACGCGTCGCCATGTTTGTAAACAGTCAGAACTTGCACGATTAAGAAATGTACGTCATGTTGGTTTGTCTAACACAAACGGAGTTAAACTTTGAAAAAAAATAAACATTATTTTACTCACCAGAGTTATCTCGAAAAACCTGCTTCCCGGAAACACTGCTACCAGCCCTGCACCTTTTTCGTTTAATCCGAGCGGCGCCTATCACAGAGATTTCCACTTTTCACTTTTGTGTTAACCGTTCAACACGCACACAACGAAACGAAAACTTCTGACACTTGGGTCGCACGGGCGAGTTCGAGAATCTAATCCTTCGCGAAAGTCGCGCCGAGGCTCAATGAACACGATTGTCACAAACAGTGCGTAATCACGATATCCCGGTCGAGCACCCGGACGACACCGGGGCAGCTTAGTTCGAATTTCTGCGAAAACTTGCCGATACGAGCCAAAGTCCATACGCCATCCCGTGCTTCCGAGCGAACTGTCGAAACTGCATCAGAAATCTCGACGCCAGCGGCGCAACTTCACGGCGTTGGGGATGGGCGGGAAAGATGGGTAGGCAGAGAGGGCGCGAATTTGGAAATTCTCAAACTCGTGCGCAAAAATCGACAACTCGTTTCATTTATGCAGTAGAAATACTCACGACGGGATAAATGTATATTCACACACACACACACACACACACTGGTCCAGCACTGTTTTGAGCCTCGGGGGTCACATTGCTAACATTGCTTCCGTGCGACGCACAGCACCGTCCGAACTCGTGCACGATTATATGTACAGTCAAAACGGAAATCGCGCGACGAACATACCTCGCGTCGCGACGACGTCGACGCTCGTCGCGGAAACGAGCTGTTCGAATTGACAACCGAACACTGTCTCCACGTCGGAGGAGGTAAGCGATCCCGCTTCTCCGTTGACGTTCTCGATGCCGCCCTGCGGGTGGGAAAAACTACTTCCTGCGGCAACGTTCACGCCGATGTGCTTGACATCGCCACCGGATCACCGACGAATCATCTCGTCGCGGCCGACACGCATCGCCGACGATCGTTCGCGCGCGGACGACACACGTTTATCGCGAACTGCCGGCATGACGGCGGGACACGCGCGCGTGTCGTGCGTGAGCCGACCATATAAACACACCACAGCGCACCGAAAAACGTCCTCTAGTCGTGGTCGACGCGCCCGTACTGCCGCGTACGGAACGGCACGGGGTGACACGACGGGTGGGTGGCGGGCGACGATGTGCGACGACGTGCGACGATGACGCGCGAACGTAGCCGCTGGTGGCCGACTGCCGCCGACGAACGCGCGGGCAACTTCGTTCCGTGCGATCAGCTGATCGCCACGCGCGCTGCTATAACTCGACTACGTCGGCGCTCGACTCCGTCAAACGGAATTCCACTCATTTCGTAGATTCGCACGCATGCTCGCGCACGTTACGCGCTAAATCTATGCACGTATGTCCGCGAAGCAGCTCCTCGATATGTATATCGCGCACGTGCGACGCCGATATAGTAGTAGATTGTAGGATAACAATCTCTCTGTGCGCGCGCACGTGACAGGGATGCTCGTCTACGTGCGCGAAAATAACACGCGTCATACAAAAGATTTTTCACGTGAGTTTGCTTTTGTTCTTTCTTTCTTTCTTTCTTTCTTTCTTCTCTTCTCTTCTTTTAAGACCAGGGCGTGTCAGACAAAAAATAAAAAACGACAAGAGGACGGAGTGACAGACAAAAAAAGAGAGCGAATAGAAAAGGGATGGGAAAAAAAGAGACGTTGTTATAATAAACTCTGACCTAAGCGCGACTCATCACACTTAAAAAACGAGCGTGACTGTGACAGGAAGGAAAATCACGAGGCGAACGTGGTGATAGCGCGAGCGACAACGTACACCATCCGTTCGTGTCGGCAGCCGGGCGTGCACTGCCTTCTCGAATCGTCGGTTGGTTCTCCATCCTCGACTCCGGCTCGTTCGCTCACTCGCAGCCTCCGACCACGTGACGGGGATCAGCTTAATGATATCTCTGCAATAGAAGAATGGGCAATCGATTAAGAGAAATATTTATTGGAATTAACTGCTTTTCGAGAACACGATGGGAAGGGAGAAGAGAGAGAAGAAGTAAGAGAGAAAAAGTCAATTAACTCTTGATCTTATTATCGGTATATACTCGGTTGTACATGTATATTTAACGTCTTAATTAATATTAATTAGAATCAATTCAACTTTTTATTGCTTTGCTATTTGATTTATCATATAATGTGTGTTTTGATCCGTGTATTGTAGGATAAGGATATGCACATCTACACGCACTAATTAAATTAAAACTTCTTGATTTGATTAATAATAATGACAATAATTAGCAGACAGTAATGACATTTATTGTATTTTGTGATTTAATACTAAAATACGGAATACTGATCATAGGTATTTCTATATAGTTTAACAATAAGATAATATAATGAAATTTAATACAATTAAAAACTAAATGAATAAATGGAAATTTAAAATGTAGGAAAAAACTAATTCATTTTGCCCTGTTTTTAGATATGATAAAAAATGCTTAAATTATACAATACATTCGAAATATTCCAAAATTATGAAAAATATGAATATTAATTCAAATCTAAGATAATTTCTGTATGCAACTCATATGTTAATTCATGTCGAGCATTAAGCTTTTGTTTTTTTGTTGATGATGTAAAAATAAATAAAAAGGGAGAAAGAAAGACGTATTGAAAAAATAACTTTATTTATAAAACAAGAAAAACGAAAATTATAACGAAGAGTTTAACAAATCATTCAAATCGATATTTATTTATTAATCTATTAACGATTTTAATTGATCTGATTTTTTGTAAAATGTAAGTATTATATTTACTTCATAAAAATTTAACGCATTGTAGCATCTTTACAACAACAGCACTATGATTTTATTTTACTTTAGCAACTGTTTCATAAAAGTTTTATATAAAAGTTTTCACAGTCAGTGCTAATTTGTTAACTAATTGTAAGAAGCCAAAACATTTCAATTAAAATTCCTTTGAACATAACTGATGCAACATTCCCCATCTTTCGTTAACAATTCACGTGAGAAATCTAAACGATACGATAGCGTGATTAATCGTAACATGACGTTTTCTTTTCTATTGTTTTATTTAAATCGCGTGAGAGATGATGTAGTACACTATACCAGAATTAAATCGAATAATATAAAATTACATGTTTACATAATACTAATGAAAAAAAGTACATTCATAACTGAGGGATGAATTAATTTAAATTACAGCTTATATAGCCGATTCTTTGTCGTAATAAAGATAAAAAAAGGACAGAGAATTTTTTGGTGAAATCACTGTTGAACATTATTAATGAAACTTACCGTGATCGTATGCTATATGTATACATGATGTGGAACATAAGGACGATTATACAAAGCAACGTGAACGGAGAGAATTGTCGATCGCGGGACACAGAGAATCTGCCGATGAATAGCCGCAGGCCGCGGATGTGGGTGTTGCTATTCGAATACTTTAGAGTGAGATCAATCCGGCATTTCTTTTCTTTTTCTTCATGATGTGTGTGACCGAGATGTAGACGAATCAATGGCCACGCCTTTGAGAAACAGACGCTGCGCCGTTACTAGCCGAAGACAAAGACGCCTACGTGCGAATTGTATCTCCCTTATGATCCGAAAAATCCTTTAGGAAACTATCTTCGATAATTGCCGTATCGAGAAACTCTAAATGTGACCGACTAAGTATCACCATGCACATATTCCATTTCTCTCTTGTCCTCTTTCACAAGAAATATATATATTATTAATTGTCGCGATCTAATTTCTTTTTCGCTCGCTTACAGATGCATCAGATAATTTTTTTCGGTATCATGTTTCTCAATTCGAGATATTATTATTTAAACATTAAACTAATCATTAAAATACACACAATCAGAATAATTTCTCAGGTGTAAATTATAAAAATCATATACATTTAGAATTCGAAAATCAAGTTCAATAAATTCAAATTTACATGAAAAGTTTAGCAGGAATCAAGTTTCAAGAGTTGCGGCCTCAGAGTCCCAAAATCTCACAATCAGTATACTGATTTATAAATTGAAGTTCCAGCATCTATTTCTTGCAGAACAACATTCCTGCAACGCAGCTTGAATCCATTAGATGCGTGAGAATGTCCATAAACTAGCGGTTGTGTAAAGTGCATTATGCACGCGGATCGCCTGAAGTGATGCAAATGTGCAATCGTGACACATCAATTCGTGAGTGGACCGAATGTAATAGATAAGTGCGGGAATTTTTGCACCATTGTCGCGAATTCCAATCTTATTATTCGCGGGTGATGATACGAGAGCTGTGTCGATCGGTGCTGAAATTACCATAAGTGTGCGATTCGCGTAACATGCTAAACAACGCTAAACGACTCGATAACAATTCGTGAGAATTTTAAAAGGTCTTTTTTATGAAATGCACACGTGACTGCTTATCTATCAAATGTGAGATTTTTTTCAAATTGACATGCTATTACATTTATAGACACGCGCGGCATGCATTTTTTAGACATATTGGTGAGAAAAATTAATATATATGTATTTAATTTTGATTGTTCTTTTACTTCTTGTTAATCTTCTATTAATATTGAAATAACTGTGAATACATAAATTTATTGTTTACTACCATGATTAGAATTGAAAAACAACAGTCATTTGTAGTATAAAATATATGCATTATTTGTCTGCATGTTCATGAATTAAATTTTTCTTTACATTTGAAATTTGAATTATATAATAAGAGATAAGAATTTTTTATATGATACAAAAATATAAAAATAATATTTTTAAATATTATACAATACATATATAATAATTGTATAATGAAAAAAACTCAATGTTTGGTTGCTTAATTTAATAAGAATATGAATAAATAATAAAGTATTTATAAAATATAAAATATTATATAAAATATTACATAATATTATGGAAATTTTTTCAAAGAATATTGTAGAATTAAAAGAGAGAGAGAGAGTTAATTTTATTCTTATGCTGCCATCTATTTCTGCTGATGAAGACTACATAAATTCCTGCAACATGCAAATGCAAATTAGTAAAGACAGATATCTGCATTATATGTAGCTGCTTATCAAATAATAAATATTTTAATCATTGTTAATCGTTAAATAATTTTGTATCATTATTTTAATGATTAGATTAGCTTAAAAATACAAGATCATATGTTTCAAGTACTTGAAACAAACTTGTTTTTGTATTATTAATTAACATATTATATTTTATTTAAATTAATATTAAAAAAGATGACACCAAAAAATTGTTATATTATAGTAATAACAATAACATACAAGTTAAAATAGTGTATATGGTTCATAAAATATTTTAATCTTGTTTTAAATTTCTTAATAACTATATTTTGTACAATGCTAAATCTTTATTATTACAGACCAATTTTTATTTCTGATACAAAAAAATATAACTAGATTTTATTCAGATTTTACAATTTTACAATTTAAATTATTTTTAATATTGTAATAATATTAATCAATGTCGCTAAGAATTACGAATGGTCGGTCATTTATTAGCAGCAGGTATAGTATACATTGTTACTTGGCAATATTTACTATTTATATGCGTATATATATATATTTATATATATAAATATATATATATATTTCTTTTTAATCTCGCATTCGTGTATTCTATTATTAATCATGTTCTTTTATTAACTACAGTATGTACTATTATGCAATACCTTGTATCGCTAAATAGCACAAATAACGCACTCTGAAGGCAACTTGCTAAACTTTATATGTATCGGATTGTGAATAATAAATTGAATGATAATATAAATATAATTTAACAAAATTGTTATTTTGCTGGAAAATGTTTTTTATTTAAAAATTCCAAGAAAAGCTATTTATATCTAAACATTTTTTCTCAATACATACAAAATTATTTATTTCTAATTATTAACAATTATTAGAACAAATAAAAAAATAGAAATACCTAAGTCATAAAAAATATCTTTTGGAAGCAATAATTTAAACAAGAATGTTATATATATGAATGCAAGAGTTTTATACGATTTTATAACAGGTTCTTTTTTATTTTTTAAATTGATACTTAGTGAATTATTACTCATTGCCTAAGCATATCGCATATTTAATTTTTTATTCTAACTGTTAAAAACAAAATTAATGTTTCTTCGTATAATTAAAAAAATATATATTCTCAATATGTTCTATTTAATTTCAATCTTGTATAGTATATACACAAAATACACACACGCGTGTTTTAAATAAGGAAAAAAGATTCAACGAAACAGGATAAACTACTGAAATTTTCTGTTTTATATGCAGATATGATTTATATAATGTTTATTTTTCTACAAAGCATTTTACAACGGTTGTTTAACATTACATCATATCATAATGTATTATTAATTGTGCATATTACAACATGACATAATGTGTTGTTGATTGTAAAATTAGAAATAGTATTTGCATAGCATAAATTCGTTATGACATAAATTGTTATTCATTGGTAATTAATGGTAATAATGTTTTCCGAAGTCAATGAGATTCTCACCTTTAGCATCCCACATATATGCTATTGTAGATATATTGCATTTTATATTACTTTGCCAGAATAAAATGAGAAGTCATTCAATAAAGCCTAATAACAAAAAAGATAATAACTTAACAATATTTAGATTTGAAAAATTATTTTGCATAAATAATTTTCTTTTCTTAATATAATTTTTTATTCAAAGATATTATTTTGTTATTATTATTATCATGACAAGTGTAAATCAAACAGTATGTAATGAAATATAATATTCATAAAATTATATTTTATATCTTACATCATAATTTTGAATATATTTTTTTAATGTTAACATAAAAACACACAAGTGTAATACGAATTAATGTATGATACAATGTGTATAATAAAATTAAAATATATTTTTTTATATTATTACATTTTCTTTTTTATATATAATATTTAAAAAGTAGTATATAAGTCTTGTAGTATAATTTTTATATATAAATATTACGAAATAAATAATAAATATACCAATAAAGGCTGATGTTTGAATAATGTCAAACTTCATAGAAAGTTGAAACGGTGCATTAGTTTTTATTTAATTATTATATAATATATTTGTTTCTGATTGTTAATCTTTAAATACAAATTTTTTGTAAAGAGGAATCTGAGAAAAAAAGAAGGGGAGAAATACCACAAATCTCATTATTATTCAAGATATACGTAATATAATGTGTTAACTTATGCTTTTCTAGCGAATTATATAAAACTGTAAATGGATTCGACATCAGTCTGGTACTTAATATCATAATTCCATGAACATGTATTTCATAAAAGATCAAGTAATAATAACAGGTTTTTATAAGGAAAATTATAAAGAGAAATCAAAAGAATGTTATAAATATGCATTAAATCGATATTTGTTTCAATTTAATATTGCATAATATAATGTTAAATAAAAATATATTTTGATTTCGCTATCAATGTGTAAAGTTTGTATCGATTAACGTATCTTTTACATTCATAACTTAGTATATGCAGTATTTTTTATACATTCAAGAAATATTATTACCAAAATATTAAAATAAAAATAGATTAATTTACTTTTATTTGTTTATTTTTCTTTTTTTTCTCTTTATTTGTATATAATATATTGTAATTATACAGATACATATTAAGTTGCTAGATAGAAATAAACAGCTAATATTAAAATACACATAAATAATAGAAAAAATAAAATTATAGCAAGCAATATGAAATCAAGTACGGCGAACAGTTATTCCAGTTACATAGTATAATATTGTAATGTTTAATAAAAAATAATAGTTTAACTTTTATCTAAAAATTCATTAAAAATTCATTAAAAATTTACATTCATATAAAACTTTTTTAGTTTAATAAACATCCGCTGCTTTGTAATTCTGTATTTTTTACTTTTATAAAAAACAATATGAAGGACGTTTTCTCGCACGTGCATATGCAATTACACATGTAAGGGAAAAAAAAGGAATATATGTATACATTAATCTTTTCCTCCAAGAATGTTGTGTAAGGTCAACATAAAAAACGTAAACAGAAACATTTAATTTCAACCATTCCATTCTTCTTTTACAATTGTAATTTATTTTTGTCATTAAACTGCAACTTAACAAAAAATAATGTTTTACAAATTAAAATAATGATATTATACGAATCATTAAGCTTAGGATGCCCCATATTAGTAAAATCGAGAGAACAGTTATTAATGTATAATGAGCAATTTTCAATCTGGAAAAAAAGGAAACTCATTATACATACGTTTTGCAAAATATAAGTTATAATAAAACTCACGCAGAAATAATACTCACTTTCTATATTTTGCTCGTCCTTGTTCTAAAGTTTCCATTGGATCATTAACTAAGTATACGCGCATACCAGGAATCATATGTTTAAGATATGATTCCCATTCTAAATTGTCAATGTTGAAATCAAACATCTGGCGATCAGCTGGATTTGTGCGTTCCCAAAGTCGTATAACAGCTTCATTGCAAAATCGCCATTGTTGCGACGAAAAGTACGATATCGCAGAGTTAAATTTATTTATCTTTCTATAAGCCTCTCGTAACCTGTAAATTAAAAATCTGTAGAGTTTTCTGCGGGAATTCTTCGATTATGTCCTAGGTGAAATCGATAAAATACTTACATAGGTTTTCGACCGATTAGAAAGAGCAGAGTATCGCCTATGATAGAAGGTATTAGATGTAAGAATATCACGCAGATATCATGCATGAATTTGTATCTGTTTAACACGAGCATATAATACCATATAACATGTGTGCTTACTACTTGCATGCCATAAATCTTATTCAAGTTCAAGAATCTTTCCCAAGTAATAGGATTTTGACATATTGACACATAATTGTAAATTGGTATTCTTTCAGTTGCCGGTACTTCTGGATTTGCGTTTTCGATGCTTAATAAAGTATTTCTATAACAAAAAATATATAATGTAATATATTATAAATAATGAATTATGAGTTATATTGTTTGTTTTAGTTTTATTTTTTGTTACACGGTAATATTAAAAATTACACAATAAATGATTTAATATTTGTTCTTATCGTAATATTTAATTAATTGTTAATCACTTTTTTACTCAGGGTCATGATCTTGACAATATATGTTAAAGTCAAGGTTATTGAGGATGAATTCCCTAATATGCATAAATATGTACAAAAAATTAAAAAAAGTCTAGATAATAAAAAAGCAATAGAAATAAAAAAAGTCTTTTAAATATGCGATATCTGTTCAAATTTTATTGTATATACGCATGTATGTGTGTGTACACACACACACACATACATAATCAAGTAATCAAGTAAATTAATCGTACATATATAATAATATAAAGTACCCGAAAAAAATTAATTTTGTTAATATAAGCTTACTTTCTTTTAGCAGTGTCCCAACTCGCAACGATGAGATTAGAAATGACGTAATCCGCAGGCACTAGTTCTGCTACATTTTCAGGTGGACAATGTAAAGTACGTAATAAACCTATGGCAGCTCCCATAACTACACCTGCCGCTCCGTATACATTATTAATCCAACCTGGTATTGGCTCCTTTGCCGTTGATATTATAATCGAAGGACGTACAATGCAGATCGGAAGTCCAGTACCATATTGCAGCACAGCATTTTCAGCAATTGCTTTCGTATAAGTGTATGTATTTGGCCATTTACCTAATAATCTGCACACACATTCATTCGATCAATGTATAATAAAAGATACAAATTAAAAAATAAAAATAAAAAATATTTATTGCACTCTTATCAATCGAATACAAGTTACGAATGAATAGGAAGTCTAAATCGCAATTTTCCTTCTACAACACTTTTTATCTTAATATTCAATATTCTTAACATCTACTTTAATCATACTTTAAATAAATTATCCTTTTGAAACTACTTTAGGCAATGTACATTAATTTTGTCAAAAATGCTCAGTTCTTATATATATGTAACAATAAGAAACTTTGAGTACACATAAAGTTAAATACAATTTTAAATCTCAGAATTCTCTAAAATTCTTAAATGTTAAAGAAAAAGAGAAATTAAAAATAAAAGCACAATTTTGATAATTAAATGTACATTACAAATTTTAGTTTTTCGAAAAACAAAACTAGGTAAAAAGTTTAATATTTTTATACTAATAAGTAAAATTTTTAAATATATATCCAAAAGTTTAGTACGTAAGAGAAAAAAAGAGAGAAAAAAAAGAATGGAAAAATTTGTGCGCGCATTATTACGCGTAAAAAATTTATTAATATAATACAAGATTTACTGAGTATTGCATAACAGTTAATAACATTTTTAATTTTGTAATTTTTTTAAAGGACACTTACACCGGCGTTAATTGTTCCATCTGTTCATCGTCCAAAATATCAAGTAATGTTAACATTTTTTCCGTATCAATAGGCGGAGGATAAAACTTTTCCTCAATGAATTCCTTTACGCAATGAGAATATGCGGTAGATACATAAATAAATGCCTTAAATAATAATTATGTAATTAAAATCGCATTTTTGCAATTATAAGAATAAATCTTGAGTAAAATGAATTTTTGTGTATGTATATATATACTTTTAAATTTAGCATTTCTTTCGCGAGAAGAAGAAATTGTTTCGTTCCTCTCACGTTTATATTGACTGCGGGTCGAATAGGTTCGTTAAATCGTACAGTTGCTGCCCCGTGGAAAAATATATTTGTATCTAAAATACGTTTTCGATTTTCTGGTGACAATCCAAGATCTAATTTGCTTACATCGGCTTCTATCATTATTACTTTAGAGTTAAAATTGGGCCTATCTTCCTTTAGCTTATCATAAACCTAAAAATTCACAATTAAAAAGAAAAAATTACATAATACGTATCTTTTCTATTTAATATATGTATATTTTTGTTATTACAGGACTGTTAAAATGCTCTTTGAACCGTTCTTCTGGTGATTTTTCTTTCTTTGTCCTCATTAATACATACATCTTCTTTATATCTGGACAGCATCTAAGGATGATTTTATCGATTTAAATAAAATTTTTAGCAATTACTCTAAATTATTGTGATTAGAATTATATTTTTAATTAATTATTATCATAAAACGATTATATTGTATTAAACATATTAGTTTTATTGCTAAAAAAATTATATTTTATATCGAAAAATCCGTTTGTAAATTAAATTTTAATTTGCTAAAATCAAAATATAGTATAATTTAACTATAGTATAGAAATTATGTGATTCTAGTAATGCGTTATTTATTTATATATTTAAAGAAAAATTAAAATGTCTTTCGAAGAATTATTTTATGTTAAGTTTACGTGTCAATATAAATCATTTAACACATTGTTTGCACTGAAGATTTTCATATATTAAAAAAAGAATATACTTACCGCAATAATTTTTCTACTAATAGTATACCAAGAAAACCGGAAGCACCTGTTATAAGAACATTAGAACCCGCAAAGAATTGAGGAATTTCACTTTTAGAATTGTCAGTGTCTGAACGATCCGACATATCCAACATTTCTTCAATGTATGTTTTTTTTTGTGCCATCTTGTTGTTGTAGCAAGAATCTTTATCTATTTTTATAATTCTAACTCTTACAAAGTCAGAATAAAAATTCACAATTTTCAATAATTGGCACTATATTTTATCACTATCTTAACAAACTGATTATGAGTTGTATAATTTTTTCAACTCTAATTTTTGAAATAAATAGGCATACTTCTTTCAAAACGTTTCTAAAAATATTTAAAACGCTTTTTCTTGAGATGTAGCCATATAGAAAAATCAATAAATATAAATTATTTATTTATAAAGTAATAATAGGCTGTTTCGTCGTAAACGCGACGACAATTGCGTTTCTACTGACAGTGAGATAAGACAAGCGGGAGTATAAAAAGGTAATTGAAAGTCAAAAGGGGAAGGGAGACATTAATTCTTTAACATTGAATAAATGTATACTGAATGTAAGAGAAGAGAATGCTTATTTAAGAGAAGGATACCAAGAAAACTACACTGACTGTTGTATTTTAATGATTACTATGACTAAGCAAAAAAACCTTATGTACATACGCCATATGTCTTATGGTTTGAATCTTGCATTCTAGAATATTATTTTATTTTATTTAAGTTAAAAGTACATGGTTGAAAATATTTGTACATTTTGTATAAAACATTTTTATTAGCAATTAATTATTAAACTATTTTAATTATATATATATAATAACTTTTCTTTTAATACCAATTAACGTTCCAAAATTTTTATGTAAAAGCAACTGTATAAAATATAAAAATTTAAAGAATAAATAAAATTAAAATAAATAAAATATACAAATATATGTATATTTATATATATGTGTGTGTATATATATGTTATGTATAAATAACATATACAACGCACACACACGCACACGTACACGCATGCACGCACATATATACGTAAATGTTATTTCGTCATGTCATACCTTTCACCGTGATTCACAAACACATATTAAATAAAGCATGATACGCAATAATAAAAATTTATACACTGAATTAAACTCGCTTGACCCAACCGGTTTAACTTGTGTGCGATAAAAATAGACAGATTATATATCTCTTCAAAATATAATAAATTATATATAATAAATTTTTTAATGTAAAATAATAATATTATAATTAATTTATACAAGTATATTTGTACAAGTAATTTAAACAAGTATTAATCTTATATATAATATTAATTATTTGTTACAAGATTAATTAAATTTATTCAAGTTTTGTGACAAACAAAAAATACATATGTAAATTATATTTTTTAAATAAATGTCAACTTTATATGATCTTCTCCGAATTATCAAAATTAATTTTAAAAAAATACAAGAAAATACAGACAATATTCAGCCTAAAATAATATAAAATGTTAAGTAATGCAAAACGCTCCGTATATTTTGTTAAGTCCGAAAGGCGATTGTAACAAGTATCGGAGAGAATAATTTACTATAATCATTATACATTTCTATTTCAACGATTTAAATGTAATGTTGATTGAGAATGCGCAATAAAATAATTAAATAGCAAAATAGAATAATAACATAAATATATAAGTTTCGTGATACATCAATCATTAAGAAAATAATCAATCTATATTTTAAAATGTTTATAATAATTTGATATTTTGTATATACTATATATATATATATATATATATATATATATATATAATACAGTTGTTTTTAAGAAAAAATATGTAATTGCAACTAACAATTACATGTATATATACAGGGTGTCCCAGATCTACCGTATAACACGTTAATGGGAGATTCCTGAGGCGATTTGGAGACGATTTTTCCTCAACGAAAATGTCCAGGCACCAATAATTTTTGAGTTAAAAATGATTGAAAATAAAAGCTTTTTTGTAAACTAAGCCTTGTAAAAATAAATTATTAACAAAACTACATTTTTTAGTTAATTTCAGATAAAGTTTACTTTAATAGAATTTTAATTTAATTAGTTACAAAGATACATGATTTCAAAAATTGGGAACATTAAAAAAATGATGACCTTTCTCGACATTTTCGCTGAGGAAAAATCGTCTCCAAATCGCCTCAGGAATCTCCCATTAACGTGTTATACGGTAGGTCTGGGACACCCTGTATATATATAGTCGATATATATATATATATACATATATATAATCGATTTATCTCATTATTTTAAACATGAAATTAATAAAAGATCTTTGGAAAATGAATATTTTACGAGCTAAAAATATATATATATATTTCCTAATTTATATAAGATTATGTCACAAATTAAAACATACAATGTCTCATCAAACTATTTATTGTTTACCTACTCTACCCTTATAACTTTTTACAGAATATTCCGAGGAATCGATTTATATAAAAATATATAGTAGTTCCATTAAAAAAAATTAAGATGATCTCGTTCTGACCTTGGCAAAGCCACTCAAGATCAATGTGATAAGATATTTTTAAATCTTATATAACTTTTTTTAACATCTTTTCTAAAATGCATTATTTACGAGATATTTGACTGCATTCCGACTTTGGCTTATCTTGTATGTGTGTGAGTGTGTGTGTATGTACATATATATGTATATGTTATAATGTGTAAAATATTTCGTCAGCGAAATTAACATTGTGTTCGGCCTTGGCAACGCAACATATGAGAGTACGTTAATGTTTACGTGCCTTGATCTTGTTTTCATTCGTCCATAAACTCTGGAGACTAGTAGTGCTTTACCAAATTTTTTAATGTGATAGCGACAGTATAAAAAAATTATTTACTGTAATTATATAATAAATGAGTAATTAATTTTTACATATACATATATCGACAACAGAATCCGAAAGTGCATATTTCGCATAAATTCATGTAATTAAGTGTTTATTTAATCATAAATTATTGTTTTATGATCTTTACGGATATTAATTATTTCCTTAATAATACTTACAACATTTTACAAAATCTCATCTATTTATTTATCATTTGAGTTTTAGATTATTTAAATATAATTTAGATGAAGAACGCGCAGTAAAATAATCGATTCGCTGAATTGAACACAACAATAAGCTTTATGATACAGCAATCATTTAATAATTAAATAATTAATCTATATATTTTAAAATGCTTACATAATTATAAATATTCCACGTATATATATATATATATATATATATATATATATATATGTTATAATACGTAAAATATTTAGAAAAAGTATTCTCAATAACATAGTTAGCCTTGATGTCTGACGTGCTATGGTTTACGTATTTTGAATTTATTAATATTCGTGCGTCAATACTTACTTTACCATTAAAATAGATGCGAAACGCTTTATATAATGTTGAAATATTTTTTAAATACGATTGTGATTAGTATCAAAACATAATTTGCTATTATTATTAAACTTAACGGTTATTAAATTTTTGATAATCTATATGAAATTATAAATTTTAACAATAAATCTTTATCAAAGCGTGAATATTCATTATTGCAAGTAAAAGTAGAACCACATCTTAGAATGAGTATTGTTATTTATATATTTATATAATAAATCTTTTTAATTTAAAAAATTGTATTTTTAAAATTTATAAAATTATTTAATATTTACATATCTACTAATTATTTTATGCATCAAATGCATCAAATACATATATGTATAATTAGGCGCGTATAATAATAACGCCAGCAAAAATAGTTCTTTATAATAATAAAAAATATAATCTTCTCAAAAATTATGTTTATAGCCAAAATAATTCTTTGCAAAAATTAATCATTATCAAAAATATTTTCTCAAAAATTATATTTATAAATTATATTTTATTTTTGTTAATAATACTAGAAAAAAATTAAAATATTAGCATCAAAAAGTAGTGAAATCAAAAAATTGCGCTAAATAATCATATTGATAATACGAGAAAAAAGGTTAAAATATTAGCATCAAAAAGTAGTCAAATCAAAAAGTTGCACTAAGTAAGTGACAACATAATATATAATATTTAGATAAATTTCCTATAATGATACAAATGTATAATTATTGCTTTATTTAAAAACGTTTATAATATATACAATAACAAAATAAATTCAGTAAAATATATATATATTTATTCATCTTTACATTTAAATAACATAAATAATTATGTTTCCAAAAATTTTCTAAATATTAATTTGTCGCAATAACATCGCGTTTGGCTCTTAGTCGAGATGAAGATGGAGTTTTTAAAAATAGGAGAGCTGACTGACAAATATTCTTATTAATGTTTGTTGCGTTTAGACCAGGTACGACGCTTTGGTGGGGGGTGGGGGTTATAAACATTGAGAGAAATATTGATTTGTAAGTGTCTGAATAGCTCAGCTGGAAGAGCAGTCGCCCGGCAAGCGGAAGGTCTCGGGTTCGTTTCCCGATTCAGCCGACTTTCGGACCAATATTTTTCTCGTCTTTTTCTTACAGGGGATGTTAAGAGAAGGAACAAGGGGAATTTCTGAGATCCCAACCATAGGATTCAAATTCCTCAGTTTCCAAAAATTTTCTAAATATTAATTTGTCGCAATAACATCGCGTTTGGCTCTTAGTCGAGATGAAGATGGAGTTTTTTAAAAAATAGGAGAGCTGACTGACAAATATTCTTATTAATAAATAATTATGTAATTAATTTAAACTGGAATGTATATACATTGTAAAGTTATTATATATTTTTATAAAATATTTAGATAAATAGATATATATAATAAAATAAATTATTTATCTCTAAATAATTATTTAATTCAAATATATTTAAACGTATATTCAAAAAAGGTAATATAAGGCACAAAGAATTAAATTTAGGAAATTAAAAAAATTTAAAGTTAAATAAAAATTTTTAATTTAAATTAAAAAATAAAAGTAAAAAAAATGTAATGTACAAAAAATACTTAGCGCTGTTTTTGTATTATAGCCCTTTGACTACGAAACGTCCTTTTCCCAATTTTATTAAAAAACAATTTTTCCTTTCCTCACCTCAAACGCATCGATAAATGTATGTATGCATACACATATGTTGCTATTATAAATATGTGTAATATACGAAAATAGGCGGAACAACTAAGAAATAATAATCATCTGTTGTCCATTTTTTATGCAAAAGTTATTTCGTTACAGTAAATTTTTTTGATATATCCATATGTGTACGTGTGGATAATAATTATATCTACAACATAACTGCGTCAATGTTTATCATATTTTATACTATACATACATTTTACAAAAATATTTTTAATTATCATTTTTAAATTTTATTTAAAGAAAAATACTCAATTATTTTTAAATTATACTTGATAAATAATTTTTTATTACATTGTTATATGTACAATACTTTGCGTACGAGATACAATTAAAAATTTGTAATTACGGAAAATTATTCAAAATAATTATATGTCTAAATAAAAAATTGATCTCACAATCAGTAAAACAAACAAGTATGTATACTTACTATCAAGTACGTATATATACTTATTATCAGTACATGCAGAAGACAAATAATTAATCGGTCAATTAATAAATGATTGACAAAATAAAAATTCGAAATTATTATTATATGGCAATATAATTTCAACTTATCGAATTTTTATTATGTGGCGACATAATAATAATTCGATGAATTAAAGTTATATCGCGACATAAAGATATTTCGGTAAAATAAAATTATATCGAAACATAATAAAAGTTCGATAAACTAAAATTATGTTTGGGTATAAAAGTAACTCTCTATTCTTATTATGTATCGACATAATTTTAATTCATCAAAATTTTATTTTGTGGCAACACAATAATAATTCGATAAATTAAAATAATATCACAACATAAAAATAATTCGGTGAATGAAAATTATGTTGAGACATAATAAGAATTTGGAATTATTATTATGTCGCGATATAATTTTTACTTATCGAAATTTTATTTTGTGGCGACATAATAATAATTCGATTAATTATAATTATATCGCAATATACAGATACTTCGGTGAATTAAAATTATGCTGCAATTATTTTTCTTATTTAATAAAAAGTAATATGCAATGTAATGAAGGTTTGACAAAGTAAAAGGAATAAATATATTTATTCAATGGAGATTTTTTTTACATTAAATGTTGGTATTGGTCACCATTCGGTTCCAAACATTTGATTGCACTGTACGCAACGCTTTCTGTGGCATTCTTTATATGCCGCAGCTGTACGGTAGCAAACGCTCTTTGTATTCGTTCTTCTAATTCGTCCTGCGTTTCTATGCGGTTAAAATAAATTTTCTCTTTCTGCGTACCCCACAAGAAAAATCACAAGGATTCAAATCTGGTGATCTTGGTGGCCATTGCCAGAAAGGTGCTCCACGACCCATCTAATTATTTCCATACGTATTATTTAAGTATTCTCGGACAAGTAGTGCTGTTATAGTTAAAACAATAAAATTAATAATTAATTAAAATTAAATAATTAATTAAAACAATTTTAGAACCAATAATTAATGATATTTATAAAAAGTTTTAATTAGAAAATTGAATTAATACAAAAATCATTTACGCAAAATAAAAATCGATTAAAAAGTATATTTGAATAAATAAAAAATTGTTGTTATTGCATTGATGTACGGTATTTTATGCACTTTTTGCATGCAATTATTAGTCAAACATAATTTTAATCTACGAAAAACAATATTTATCCGTATAAAATAAAACTTCTTTAAAACAAAAAATTGCAAAAATACAAATATTGAAATAATAGCAAAGCGTCATGTGTTTATTAAAAATCAGAAGTTTAGAAACTCTCAGAAGCTAGTATTTAATGATATAAAAAACATATTGCAAACTAATACTAATAGCTGTAAATTCTTTATAAGTTGTACTAAAAAAATTTAAACTTTACATTAATTTGTTATTTGATTGAGACCTGAAAATTTTTATTAAAACAAATTATGTTTTCAAATATGTTTAATAATTTATAATAATTGTAACCTGCATTATTGTGCGCTGGACATCCATCATGCATAAAAATGATGTTACGTCGAAATAGCGGCATATCGTCGATAGCAGCGGGAGGAAAAAGTAAATTTGGCAACTCATCACGCAAAAAGTCCAGATAATTTAAACCATTTAATCTTTCCGGCAAGAATACTGGTCCAATCTAAGGATAATTATTTGAAATTCATCATAAATAAATACACATTATGGCTTTATAGAAATTTTTTATGTTGACAAAAGCAGAAGTAAAAAAAACGGAATGTTTACAAATGCTAACATAGTTATCTAAATGAAACGCTAAAATTTAAACCAAAAATAAATACGTAAATCTCCAGTCACAAGAGAAAGACAAAATGGCAAAATGTTAAAATATGTATTATTATAAATTTCAAGAAGACCTAAATTTCAAAATTAAATCATGAATAAGTTTTCTACAATTTTTTTCGCATATATATATATATATATATATATTTATTTGTCAAGATTATATAAGTTTGTAAACATTTTGCTTAATGAGTCGTCACGCATTATTTATTAAAAAAACTTATTGAAGAGCATTTATGATACGGACACACATTAAATGAATACTTTGAACTAACAATAAGCATGTAAATTCCACATTAACTGCATATATTTATACATTGAAGTTAATGCGTAGTCGGGAAAGGAGTCTCGTCTCTGCATTTCGATTCCAAAGGAAAAAAGCGCTTTTCAATTTTAGTATACCAATGCATTTCTTTTATAATAAATGTATATATTATATCAAAAGTGTAATAATAATAAAATTAATAGAGATAAATATATTATGTATATATTATAATTATTTATAAATATATTATTAAGTATAATAAATATTCAATATTCAACGTATCATAAATTGATTGAGAATTTAACGATAATATTGTTGCAATATTAAAGGAAAAATCGAACGAAATACTTTTAAAATGAATAATTATTTAATAATTATTCAAATAAATTCACGCAGCAATTTTATTGTATAACAGAGTTTGTTATTACGTAAATGTAAGTATATAAAAGCATTCGCAAATAAATTATCAGTTTAGTAAGAGAGTTTGCTTTAATAACTATTATTCGTTGTGAGTTAATACAGTACGTGTGAGTTTATAAAGTACGTATTGATATTTTCTGTTATAGACCATCTATTATCTTATAAAAGGACAAAATTCTTTTTTTATAACCGTATATTCTATGTATTCTACGTGTTTTATGTTAACGTTTGTTGTCATTATTTTACGTGAATTTAATCGTAATTACATGCAATGTTTTCCTGATCGCAATCAAAGTTTCGAGATAGATGTTTAAAGCGCATTATTTTCATTATGAATTTTTTTATAAAAAGGTTCAAATATAATTTCATGATTCTTTAATTTCGACTTATTTTGACTTCATCATTTCACTCTCCAAAGATAGGATGCGACTTCTGAGTGTGATATATTTTGTATATACACATTTCGTTACTAATCATCATTTTTAAGGACGTTTCGTAGTCAAAGGGCTATAATACAAAAACAGCGCTAAGTATTTTTTGTACATTACATTTTTTTTACTTTTATTTTTTAATTTAAATTAAAAATTTTTATTTAACTTTAAATTTTTTTAATTTCCTAAATTTAATTCTTTGTGCCTTATATTACCTTTTTTGAATATACGTTTAAATATATTTGAATTAAATAATTATTTAGAGATAAATAATTTATTTTATTATATATATCTATTTATCTAAATATTTTATAAAAATATATAATAACTTTACAATGTATATACATTCCAGTTTAAATTAATTACATAATTATTTATGTTATTTAAATGTAAAGATGAATAAATATATATATATATTTTACTGAATTTATTTTGTTATTGTATATATTATAAACGTTTTAAAATAAAGCAATAATTATACATTTGTATCATTATAGGAAATTTATCTAAATATTATATATTATGTTGTCACTTACTTAGTGCAACTTTTGATTTGACTACTTTTTGATGCTAATATTTTAACCTTTTTTCTCGTATTATCAATATGATTATTTAGCGCAATTTTTTGATTTCACTACTTTTTGATGCTAATATTTTAATTTTTTTCTAGTATTATTAACAAAAATAAAATATAATTTATAAATATAATTTTTGAGAAAATATTTTTGATAATGATTAATTTTTGCAAAGAATTATTTTGGCTATAAACATAATTTTTGAGAAGATTATATTTTTTATTATTATAAAGAACTATTTTTGCTGGCGAAAGATATAACTTAGCGCTTTTTTTTTACATCTGTGATGTCTTTTTTTGTGGGATTTAAGAAGTTACATTGTTATATGAGTCATGTTGCTAATAAAAGATGGTTACTATATTAACATAGAACATTTAAAAGTAATTTTTTTGAAATTTATGCTATTATTGGGCTTGTTTCATTTCGAATGTACTCGAGATATATTTTGTAATTGCTCATTTTTAATGCAAATTACAATAAAGATAGATATACTTTATTATTTTTATATATACTCATTTGTAACTATTTGAATTTCCATAAAATCATTAGTCATGCATTTTTTAATAAAGAGAAATATTTCTTAATAGCGGATAAATGTTTTTTTTGTGCGAATTGGTTTGAAAGCTTATTAAAAGCACATTGAAAATGATGACGGTAACTATCATTAAGTCGATGCCGAAATTATTATCGTAGAACAGTTCAAAAAATTAAAAATTAAAAATTAATTGTTTTTTATAGTGAGACTTTTGGATATTTTTTCGCTTAATTTTTATTTTCACGTGTTAATTCTGTAGAACGTGATGTGGAAACAGAGTAGGTTTTTTCACTTTTAGATTGTTTTTCTCCGTCCGACATTAACCGTCACGTCATTCAGCGGAGGACTTTGATCGAATATAATCCTTGAGCCAGTTATCCTCCATTGAACACGGCAATAGCACGATATTTTTAACATTATTTGAAAGTTTAAAATTCTTTTCACATAATTTCTGTATAGCCGTCAATTATTTTCAAAACAATATTTATCTTATTTTTTGATCACGAAATTTGCATACAATCGTGCATTTGAAATAATACGTCAAAATATACCGTTCGATTTTATAATGTTTTTATAGATGCATTATTTTTCATATTTATAGATTTTTGATAATTGTAGATGAAATTACGAAAAAAGCTTCAAATGTCCGTTCAAACATTTTTATAGTGTTATAAAATAATATTAATTATATATATTAAGCGTTGTGCTCTTTTTATAAAAATTACACATATCGCAATATAAATATTACAGCTATCGCCAATTTACGTCAAATACGTTTGCGAAATTCGAATTACAATTTATATTCTGATATAATCAATTGGCTTACATCAAAACGTTGTTTGATTCCGTACCGCTGGATATTTTCTTTAGAAATTTTCTTCAAAACAAAATATGTCCAAATTTTATATAATTGATCCTTTTTATAATTGAGCATATAATGTGTTAATGCCTCTATGGTCGCAATTATGCTTGTGTAATTAATTGTATCAGTCATGTTTAATCTTAAAATTTGTAATAAATTCTATATTATATTAGCATTTCGGAAATTTTAATGTAATGTAGTAAAAGATATTTTTATATTTTGTATTTAATTATATACCTCGTATGAAACTTTGCATTATTCCTTGTATATTTTATAATATTATTGGTTATACGAATTATTTGTTAGTGACCTACACTGGCTTCCTTTATTACGTGAAATTGCAACGTTTCGATCACAGATTGTGATCCTTTTCAAGTACAATTATGCATAGGGAGAGACAATTGCAAAAGAAAAGTGGCTGAAATGTTCTATAAAAAAAAAAACAAATAATACCATTAATTAACAAAAAGACACAAATAATCTAAATACAGCAGATGACGCAATTTGCTTAGACTTTAGTTTTTATCATGCTGATTTTATCATCGCTTTTTTTATATTGTTTTTATTGTTATTACCCGTTTATAACTTTATTTTTTTTGTTCGAATTGATTGTCATTTAATTATCGTCAGTACGAACTTAACATCCTTCGAATAAGGACGTTTTCGCATGCCTTTGCGAGATGCGTATAAGTCCCATCTATTTGTTGGTCAACTGTAAGTTAAATTTATGATTTTATAATTTTTTTCCTATTGTATATTGTTTTTAATTGTAACTTTTAAATTTTAATCTTATTTAATTTGTACTTGAAAAAGATCACAATCTGTGATCGCAAAAGTTGTAATTTCACGTTATAAAGAAATAGAAGAAAGAAAGAGTGTAGGTCACTAACAAATAATTCGTATTTTAATTTTTTACTGGCGATATAAAATAAGAATTTATCTTATTATTGGTTATACATTTGTATTAATGTATTATTGTATTAATAGTTTGACAGTTGTTTAAAAATAAAATAATATCCAAAATAAAATTACAATGATTAAAAATTTAAATTATTACATTAAATCGAATAATTACTAAAGGCAACAATGCTATCTCTCTTAGATGCATAATTATACTGATTTTATAATATCTATATTATATAAAACAAAGATTTATTAAAATAACCACGAAAAAGAGAATAAAAAATAATAAAAAGAAAAAATGATATTTGTATTCATTTTCTGTCGATTCAATTTTTGATCGATGTTTGGAATGCATTATATTTAATATAATTTGTAACAGCTCTTTAAAAATTAATATACATATAAAAGGCAATAAGAGCTAATTAAGTTCTTTCATTAATATTTATTTGTGGAAAAATATTTATAACATAAAATATTAGACAGAAATAAATTCGAACGTTTTGGTTGCCTTTTTCAACCTTCTTCAGCGCATCATTTAAAATTAAAGATTAATAGAAATCAACAATCAATTATTCATAACTGTCAATATAATAAAACTATACAGAAACACAGTTATTCGCATAAAACTACGTCAAGCTATTAAAAAAAAAAAAAAAACGAAATCAACGCATTTTTAAAGCATGAGCATTTTTATATATTCTATTCTTCGAATCGTCATTCTATGTAATTGTCGCGAAACAGATCTCTCGTTAATTGTTCGGTTGCGAATCTCGATAACAGCAATTGTTAATATGGATTCGTTATTGTAACCTCGAGCAATCAACATCTGAAAGTCTTCACGTCACAATATAATATTTTACTCGATTTAATTACATATTAACAATTGCTGTTATCGAGATTCGCAACCAACCTTCTAACCGAACAATTAGCGAGAGATCTGTTTCGCGACAATTACATAGAATGACGATTCGAGGAATAGAATATATAAAAATGCTCATGCTTTAAAAATGCGTTAATTTCGTTTTTAAAAAAAATAGCTTGACGTAGTTTTATGCGAATAACTGTGTTTCTGTATAGTTTTATTATATTGACAGTTATGAATAATTGATTGTTAATTTTTATTAATCTCTAATTTTAAATGATGCGCTAAAGAAGGTTGAAAAAAGCAACCAAAACGTTCGAATTTATTTTTGTCTAATATTTTATGTTATAAATCTTTTTCCACAAATAAATAATATTAATAAAAGAACTTAATTAGTTCTTATTGCCTTTTATATGTACATTATATTTAAGTAAAAATAATAATTAAATTATACGAAACATAGGTTGACATATGAAATATTTAAATAAAAACATAAGAGAGAAATTTACAAATAAAATATTATTTTCATGTATCAAATATTATTGTTAGATATTTCATTTTAATTTAATTATTGCAAAAAAGTGCGATATGCCAATTAAATCTATACTATATAGACAACACAAGTGCGCGCTTCACGCACGCTATTGTCTGATTTTACGTAGTGATTTTATGTAATTTTATTCAATTTTATTTTGATGAACTCGAATTGTTAACGCTCACAATAACAACTGCTAGACAACACAAGCGCGTACTCATAATTTCTAATATAATTTACAATTTAATTAATGTTTATAAATAACTTCTAACAATTTTATAAAAAATAAAACTAAATATATTGATTTTCATGTGTCTTATTGCAAAAAATAGAAAAATGAAAAGTTAATTATTATTAATATTTACAAACATATAAACATTTATAATTATATTTAATAATCTCATATTGTAAAAATTA